TACACCCTTTGAATCTTCACAAAGGATGACCACCTCCTTCGAAGTGCTTCACGAGGATGAACTTATCCTCTTCCGAACACCTCTTAGACACCACCAAGGATAATCAAACTATTCTCTATCAGTAGCAGTATTTCCAACTCTACAGACAGAGTTTCCCTTAGCTGAGCAAGAGCACACAATTCTTCAAGAGTTTCTGAGTATTGAGCACAAGGGAAGAGTCTCTAGTTGGTTGCTTTGTTCTCTTGAGAGGAAAGTGAGAGTCTTATTTATAGACTCACCAAAGGGCTCTTCCATTTTTCGTTTTCAGCCTTTCACACTGGTTATCGATTAGCTACAGGGTGTTAACGATTAGCACCCCAACGGATAGTCCAACGGCCTTGTAAAAACGGGTCTTAGTTTTCAAACGTTCCTGTGTTAACGATAACAGCCCTTGTTAATCGATTAACGTTAACGATTAACACCCCTTGTTAATCGATTAACAGCTTAATGCAGCGTTTCTTCATTTGTCTCTGGAACAATCGATTTACACCCTGTGTTAATCGATTAACACTGCACAGATTTTGCTGTTTGGCTTATTTTTACATCTCTTTTGAATGCAAACATAAATCCACTCATAATCTAAGTCCTAGATACTAAAATATAATTATTACAAAAGCTTTCCATAGCAATACAAGTCTTCATAACATTTTTCATGATTCTTGATTGTTCTTGACTTGATTTGGACATCATCAAAACTTCATCTTCATCATTTTGCTAACAGAGTCGACTTCTACTGTGATGGTAACCCTTGTTTGGGTAAAATTTGAAAAGAAATTTCTTATTGGCTCAAATTGGGTATCAAAGGATATTTTTTTTGTTTTTTTTTTTGTTTTGGATGAAGAAAAATGGCCACACATCATTTCAAATATTGGTTGTTTTATTTTCAAAAGATTAATTAAGAGACAAAGACTAAACGATCTCAACAGAGTCATCTTCATCCTTTTTCTTTTCCCCCTTTTTTTTTATTTTTTTTTATTTTTTTTTTATTTTTTTTTTCATAACGGATTCCAGGATCTCCCAAATGAAAACCAGTGAAGGTAATGGAAAATCTGCCCTAGTGTAAAACTTTGTGTTTATTATTTGGGCTCAAGAACATGATTGGGTCAATCTCTGGTTAGGTGAAGGCTGAAGGATGATGTTTTCAAGCAATGCACACACATATATCTCTTAAGAATGTGATTTGATCATTTGACTCCAGGAGATTATGACATCCATTATATTTTTTTTGAAATCTCATAAAATGGATGATTTGCATCGAAAACAAATGACTCAAACTTTTGCGTATTTTTTTTTGGTTTTATGCATGAAGAAAAGTATATGAAATGAAAATGATGATGCTAGTTGAAAAACAGATTTTTTTTTTTTGGTTGTTTTTTTTTATTGTTTTTTTTTTGTTTGAAAATTGGGCTATGAGGACCAGCCTGGAAACTGGACCCTTGCGGGCCGAAATGGAAAATAGGCTTTGTGAGCCATTGGGGAAATTGGGATTTTTTTTTGTGGAATCTGGGAACCAGTGCAGAAACTAGGGCTTGGTGAGCGATGCAAAAATTGATATGAGTAAACTTGATTTAGAAAAATGTTTGAAAAATGTTTTTTTTTGGTTACTTTCTGACACGGGAAAATCCAGACCGGATCGGCCCTGAGGAGAAGTAACATAGAAGGAAGTTGGACTTACCAAGCACATTGACCCAATGGATCATATGACCTGAGCCGTGTGAACTTGTCACAAGAAGATGACGAAGGAAACATTTTTTTTTTTTGCACAAATAATTGTTCACACAAATGAAAAGGGAAATTATGAATTGAAAACACAAAATCTACACAAACAAGGATTTTTATTTTTCAGAAATTCAGATGCACTGGTTCAGGAGAAACCACATATGCCGAAAGGGCCTAATGGGCTCAAAAACTGTTCATCTTTCATTCTCAGATTTTTTTCTCTTTTTTTTTCTTTTACTACGAATTCAACGAAAATCACACAAGACAATTTGAACAAATGTACAAAACATCATTCAACAGCAAAAATGTGAAAACAAAATATTTTTGACATATTTCCAAAAGAAGTATACTCGAGAGAAAAACCACGAAGGCCATTGGGCCTAATGGGCTCGAGCATTGTTTTTTTTTTCAATATTTTTGATTTATTCAAAAATGTAGAAGAAGAAGGAATAAAAATCAAACAAAATGGTGATGTGAAATTACAAACATGCCAAAATAATTTTTCACTCAAATTTATATTTCAGAAGAATTGGGTTCAAAGAAAGCTAACATGGTAATGAGGCCCAATGAACCTGAAAATGTCCTTTATCATGTAAATGAAAAACAATTTTGAACGCTTCAAATTTTACATCACTCCACTTATATATTTTTTTTGGAAAAATTTTCTATTTATCATTTTTTTGATTTTTTTGTGTTTTATTATTTTTTTGGTGAAATCGGATCATCCAAGAAGTCTTGAATTGGGCCGGATCGTCCCAACAAAACCCTACCCGTTTTCAGATTTTCAAAATTTTTTTAATTTTTTTTGAATTTTTTTTTTAAAACTCAGAAAGAAATCAGACCGACACCAGACGGTTGCAGCGACCGGAACTGTAGCCACAGTGGATTTGCTTGGCTATAAAACGGGTACCCCTTCGGCGTCTGAGCGGCATTTTCCCGATCTCGCTCTCTCTCTATCCTTCTCTTTCTCCCTCTCTTCCTCTCTCTTCTTCTCTTCCTTGAGCGTCTGGATTTCTGAGAGGAGCCTCTGCCCCCGTGTGCCTTTGAGAGTGTCTGAGTTCCGCGAGAGAGGCTTCCGTCCCCGACTTCCGAAGCGCTTGAGTCATCTGAGGTACTTCTCCTCGTTTGCCTTCCACTTCCAGGTAAGTCTTCTGAGCTCTTAATCCTCTTTCCTTCTTCTCTCAAGTTTTCTGCTCTTCCGATCTTTCCTTCTCTCTCCTTTTTCATTTTTCTTTTCTCTTATGCTTTCCGGTTTATTCTTTACTCTCTAGCCTTCTGCTTCTGCTTTTCCTTTTTTGCTTTTGCTTTCCATTTTTGCTTTACTTCCCCTCTCCCTTTTATGTTTTTCTTTTCTGCTTTCCTTTCTGCAAGCTCTTCTATTTTCTTCTGCTTTCCGCTTTGTCTGCTTTTATTTCTTTCTCGCCTTTCTCTGCCTTTCTTTCTGAGTCCTCTTTTCTCTTTTTTTTTTAATTTAAAAACTTAAAACACTTAAAAACACAACTGTCTTAACTTAAGGGGTATATAGGCTGGAAACCAGACGTTAATCTCCCTTCGATTGAAGGTATGGCAGAGACAATCGGGTAGAACAACGCCACGTACCCCATAAAATCAGAAAACTTAAAAAGAGAATTTTATCTGTATGAATCGAACATGGACAAATGGACAAGGACAAAAGGACAAGGACAAAAGGACATAGATCCATTTAGGACCCTCTTGCAAGGACCGTGAAACAGATCCGAGACCGGACACTGAAATAACAAAGACCGACCGGACAAAATAAACTTAAAAGGAAGCAAAAACGAATAAAGAAAACACTGAAAATACTTTTTTTGTTTTATGCTTTTGTTATGTTTTTGTTCTTTTCATTTTTATATATTTTTTTTTGTGAAAACTTAGAGAGGAAAGATGAGCGAGATGGAGATGGAGAGGTACACCGGTCAGCGGTGGAGACCTACTGACGATCAGGTCAAAATGATGACCCATATCTACAATTACGGGGTCACACATCCCAGCAGAGCCCAAGTCGTCGAGATTGCATCTCGACTAAGGGCTTTCGCAGATGCCACTGAATACAATGTGCACTGCTGGTTTAACAACCACGGCAATCGGGTCAGGCGCTGGCAAGCGGAGATAGACCCCACTGGCACTCAGTTTTCACAACTGCCGCTATACATGTATGGTAAGCACCCTGATCACCTCCATCTTTTCTTTTTTTTTATTTTAAAAAAAAAAATTTCCCTCTTCATCTTATTATTGACAAATTTTTGTTTTACTTTTTTTGGAAAGAATACGACTGGGTGATCATGAGGGCGCCGAGGCTGCTGAACTTGTTCCCCGTTTCGATCATCATTGACGACGATAGGGACGGACGACAAATCGCTCCACCCATGCTTCTCACATTCCGGACCAGAGCTCCCTCGACGGAGCTCTCCCTCAGACCACCGCAACCAGCTCGGGAATTTTTTCGCTGAATTGTTGTTTTTTTTTTATTTTCATGGTTTGTAATATTAACGATCACCAGTGATCGAATCTTGAACATTGTTTATTTGCTTTTGTTTTATTTGCTTTTCTTTTTCTGTTTTTTATTTGAATTTGTGACCTTGCTTTTCTCTGTTATATATGCTTTTTTTTTGCATTTTTATCTTATTTATCAAATGTTAAGATCGTTTCAGTATATTCAGAATGATGTCTTTGTTCAAAAACATCTCTCCGACCTTACTGTGAATCTTGCCCAAATGATGAAATAAAATTAGATTTTTATGGTTTTTCTTTGATTTCAGTCTAAACAAAATTTTTAATTTAAACAAAATGATGGAAAACTGGGTTCAAAAGAAAATAAAATTATTTACAAAGAAAATAACGAAAAATGACTTCAAATAAAATGAGATCCGAAGTGAATGTCATGATCAAAAGTTTTGAACCATTATGCGTATGAGACAATGAAATGGGAAGAGAAGAACAAAGAACTCGTAAAACAAAATGAACAATCTGAAATTTTGATGACTCTCTTTTTTTATTTTATTTATTTATTTATTATTTTTTATTTGTTTTCTTCCACGACATCCTTGAGGTCCGAGTTTGTGCTCAATGGAATATACCCGTGATGCTTTAACTATTATTACTTTCCTTATTTTACTTTGAAACTCAGTGTGATATGAATCGTGTCGAAGAGCAAAAGATGAAAAAGTCGGATAATTTTATTGAAAGAAGTAACACAGAATACAACCAAATTTTCACAAAACAGTGTTAATATCCCTTAGTAGCATCCCCTATCTCGGAATCATCATGCGTAAAACTTTTTTACCGCATCAGAATTGACCAGTAAAGGTAACTCCTCTCCGTCCATCCTTGTGAGAATAAGTGCCCCTCCAGAGAACGCCCTTTTTACTACGAATGGCCCTTCATAATTTGGTGTCCATTTGCCTCTGAAATCCCTTTGTATGGGCAATATCTTCTTTAACACCAGTTCGCCTTCATGGAAATCCCTTGGATGTACTTTTTTGTCGAAAGCCTTTTTCATTCTTCTTTGATACAATTGCCCGTGGCACACCGCTGTCAGTCTCTTCTCTTCGATGAGATTGAGCTGGTCAAACCGAGCTTGAACCCACTCAGCTTCCTCCAATTGGGTTTCCAATAAAATTCGTAGAGATGGGATTTCCACCTCAAATGGAAGCACTGCTTCCATCCCATACACCAGCGAGAAAGGTGTGGCACCAGTGGACGTTCGTACTGAAGTACGATATCCATGTAAAGCAAAGGGAAGCATTTCATGCCAATCCTTATAGGTGACCACCATCTTTTGCATGATCTTCTTGATATTCTTATTAGCAGCTTCTACTGCCCCATTCATTTTTGGACGATAAGGAGAAGAATTAAGATGATGAATTTTGAACTCCTCACATAACTCTGCCATCATCCGGTTGTTCAGGTTGGTGGCATTATCAGTGATGATCTTGTTAGGCAACCCATATCTGCAGATCAACTCCCTTTTTATGAATCTGGTCACCACCTTTCTAGTCACGTTGGCATAAGAAACGGCTTCGACCCACTTGGTAAAGTAATCGATTGCGACTAGTATGAAGCGATGTCCATTTGACGCTTTTGGCTCTATAGCTCCAATAACATCTATTCCCCACATTGAAAACGGCCATGGTGCAGACAACACGTTCAAAGTCGTGGGCGATACATTGATATTGTCTGCATGCATCTGACATTTCTCGCACCTCCTTACATGTGTACAACAATCATTTTCCATGGTTAACCAGAAGTAACCAGCTCTCACGATCTTCCTAGCCATGGAGTGTCCATTCATGTGTGTGCCGAACGTACCTTCGTGCACTTCTTTCAATATCAATTCGGCTTCTTTTGTATCTACACATCTGAGGAGAATCATGTCATGATTTCTCTTGTATAAAATGTCCCCACTCAAAATAAAGCTACCAGCCAACCTTCGTAACGACCTCTTATCGTTTTCAGATGCTTTTTCAGGATATTCTTGGGTCTTAAGATAGTGCTTGATATCGAAGTACCAAGGTTTACCATCCACCTCCTCCTTGATGAACTGGCAATATGCTGGCTCCGTATGGCTCTTCATTTCAATCACTGGTAATTCTGTATTCGGGTCAACCTCAAACATGGATGACAAAGTAGCCAACGCGTCTGCTAACTGGTTATCTTCCCGTGGTATGTGGTTAAATGTGATGATGTCGAAACACTCCATTAATCCTTTGATGTATGCCTGGTAAGGGATTAATTTTGCGTCTCTTGTTTCCCACTCTTCCTTCATCTGGTTGATGACTAAAGCTGAATCTCCATATACTTCCAGAATTTTCACTTTGAACTCTATTGCCGCCCGAATACCCACAGCGCAGGCCTCATATTCTGCAATGTTATTCGTGCAATCAAAACACAGCCTTGATGTCATGGGCATATACTGCTGCTCTGGAGAGATTAGTACTGCCCCTATGCCATGCCCCATCATATTCGACGCTCCATCAAATAATAATATCCATGTTTCTTCGTCTCGGTATTTCCTGCCTTCTTTGAATAGAGCCATGATATCTTCATCAGGAAACTCGGGCTGCATTGGCTGATAATCATTGATGGGTTGATGCGCCAGGTATTCTGCTAATGCACTACCTTTGACGGATTTCTGAGTGACATATACGATGTCATACTCTGACAATAGCACCTGCCACCGAGCTATCCTTCCAGTGAGAGCGGGCTTTTCAAAAATAAACTTGATAGGATCCATCTTGGATATCAACAATGTAGAGTTACTCAACATGTATTGCCTTAGGCGATGAGCGGCCCATGCCAATGCACAACAAGTTCGCTCTAACGATGAATATCGTTGTTCGCAGTCTGTGAATTTCTTGCTCAAGTAATATATCGCATGCTCCCTTTTTCCAGCTTCATCATATTGACCCAATACACAACCCATTGACCTTTCCAATACAGTTAAGTACAAAATGAGTGGTCTTCCTGGCTCGGGTGGACGCAATACAGGTGGGTCTTGCAGGTATTGTTTGATTTTTTCAAAAGCGGCTTGACAATCCTCATTCCAAACCATAACCTGATTCTTCCGTAGCAACTTGAACATTGGTTCGCAGGTAGCAATTAATTGGGAGATGAATCTAGCAATGTAGTTCAATCTACCCAGAAAACCGCGAACCTCCTTCTCTGTGCTAGGCGCAGGCATTTCTGATATCGCTCGCACTTTGTCAGGATCCATGACGAGAGTGTCGCGCCTCTCGCAAAAGTTGTGCATATAATTAATGCAGTACAGTTACTAGGAAGTGACTCCTAGGTCGTCTCTAAAGGACCAAATTGGGTTCAGTCTCAGATCTAAACACGAAGTGGGGGGGGGTTTGTGAAAGTTTTGTTTGCAGATAAATTAAAAAGCGTCGAAATAAATTTCAAAACAGTACAGTAAAACGACATTAAAACAGTAAAAACGAACTTGGTACAATTAAAATGAAAATACAGCAACATGAAACATTAAAAACAGATCTGAAACAGTAAAACGAAAATACAGAAATACAGAAAATACAGAAAACGAAAATACAGTAAACAGTAAAAACAGAAAACAGTAAAGTAAAAATAGAAAACAGTAAATTTCAATCATGAAAACACAATCAACATTACAGCAGCAAAATATTTAGAACAAAATTACGGCGAATGATTAAAAATGAAATCACAAACAACACAGTGAAAACAACAGTAAAAATTTAACGGCAGGCAAACAACGACAGAAAATTAAATTGCAGCAGAAATTTAAAAACAGAAAAATAAAAAACAGTAAACTATCCTAGAATTTAACAACATGAAACTAACTTTGAATTTAAATTGTGCAAGATTTTAGTACAGCAAATAGGAAAATAAAATTGAAACGTGCACACCATTTTGCTTCAACCGTAACCTTCCATTCTATACTGTGTTATTTTCTTTTACTGGATGGAAATCTATCTACTACTCTACTGCAAAAGCAAAATAAATGAACTTGTTCTTTGGTTCAACACAAGGCCGTGAATCACCTTCCCAGAGGTTACAAAATGCAAGAAGAGATTTTATAGAGGAACAGGGAACAAAATGAAATATGCAATCAGAATTCAAGAAAAGGAATAAACATCAACCAATTCATTCATCATGAAAAACACATTACAGTTCTCTTGAAGTAAAAACATTCAAAGTAAAAGAACAAACAAGTGGTGCCTGGATTCCTCCTGGCCGTATGCTTCTCCTTCCAGTCTCCACACCAGTTTGCTTTCTCCTCCTTCAATCCATGCTTGGTGTACTCCTTGTATCTTCTCTGTGTGTAGAATAATGGAAATGAAAGAAAATCCAAGAGCCTCCTCCCCCCAAAGAGAAGTTGCCGAGAGAGCTCCCTTAACTCTAANGAAGCAAAAACGAATAAAGAAAACACTGAAAATACTTTTTTTGTTTTATGCTTTTGTTATGTTTTTGTTCTTTTCATTTTTATATATTTTTTTTTGTGAAAACTTAGAGAGGAAAGATGAGCGAGATGGAGATGGAGAGGTACACCGGTCAGCGGTGGAGACCTACTGACGATCAGGTCAAAATGATGACCCATATCTACAATTACGGGGTCACACATCCCAGCAGAGCCCAAGTCGTCGAGATTGCATCTCGACTAAGGGCTTTCGCAGATGCCACTGAATACAATGTGCACTGCTGGTTTAACAACCACGGCAATCGGGTCAGGCGCTGGCAAGCGGAGATAGACCCCACTGGCACTCAGTTTTCACAACTGCCGCTATACATGTATGGTAAGCACCCTGATCACCTCCATCTTTTCTTTTTTTTTATTTTAAAAAAAAAAATTTCCCTCTTCATCTTATTATTGACAAATTTTTGTTTTACTTTTTTTGGAAAGAATACGACTGGGTGATCATGAGGGCGCCGAGGCTGCTGAACTTGTTCCCCGTTTCGATCATCATTGACGACGATAGGGACGGACGACAAATCGCTCCACCCATGCTTCTCACATTCCGGACCAGAGCTCCCTCGACGGAGCTCTCCCTCAGACCACCGCAACCAGCTCGGGAATTTTTTCGCTGAATTGTTGTTTTTTTTTTATTTTCATGGTTTGTAATATTAACGATCACCAGTGATCGAATCTTGAACATTGTTTATTTGCTTTTGTTTTATTTGCTTTTCTTTTTCTGTTTTTTATTTGAATTTGTGACCTTGCTTTTCTCTGTTATATATGCTTTTTTTTTGCATTTTTATCTTATTTATCAAATGTTAAGATCGTTTCAGTATATTCAGAATGATGTCTTTGTTCAAAAACATCTCTCCGACCTTACTGTGAATCTTGCCCAAATGATGAAATAAAATTAGATTTTTATGGTTTTTCTTTGATTTCAGTCTAAACAAAATTTTTAATTTAAACAAAATGATGGAAAACTGGGTTCAAAAGAAAATAAAATTATTTACAAAGAAAATAACGAAAAATGACTTCAAATAAAATGAGATCCGAAGTGAATGTCATGATCAAAAGTTTTGAACCATTATGCGTATGAGACAATGAAATGGGAAGAGAAGAACAAAGAACTCGTAAAACAAAATGAACAATCTGAAATTTTGATGACTCTCTTTTTTTATTTTATTTATTTATTTATTATTTTTTATTTGTTTTCTTCCACGACATCCTTGAGGTCCGAGTTTGTGCTCAATGGAATATACCCGTGATGCTTTAACTATTATTACTTTCCTTATTTTACTTTGAAACTCAGTGTGATATGAATCGTGTCGAAGAGCAAAAGATGAAAAAGTCGGATAATTTTATTGAAAGAAGTAACACAGAATACAACCAAATTTTCACAAAACAGTGTTAATATCCCTTAGTAGCATCCCCTATCTCGGAATCATCATGCGTAAAACTTTTTTACCGCATCAGAATTGACCAGTAAAGGTAACTCCTCTCCGTCCATCCTTGTGAGAATAAGTGCCCCTCCAGAGAACGCCCTTTTTACTACGAATGGCCCTTCATAATTTGGTGTCCATTTGCCTCTGAAATCCCTTTGTATGGGCAATATCTTCTTTAACACCAGTTCGCCTTCATGGAAATCCCTTGGATGTACTTTTTTGTCGAAAGCCTTTTTCATTCTTCTTTGATACAATTGCCCGTGGCACACCGCTGTCAGTCTCTTCTCTTCGATGAGATTGAGCTGGTCAAACCGAGCTTGAACCCACTCAGCTTCCTCCAATTGGGTTTCCAATAAAATTCGTAGAGATGGGATTTCCACCTCAAATGGAAGCACTGCTTCCATCCCATACACCAGCGAGAAAGGTGTGGCACCAGTGGACGTTCGTACTGAAGTACGATATCCATGTAAAGCAAAGGGAAGCATTTCATGCCAATCCTTATAGGTGACCACCATCTTTTGCATGATCTTCTTGATATTCTTATTAGCAGCTTCTACTGCCCCATTCATTTTTGGACGATAAGGAGAAGAATTAAGATGATGAATTTTGAACTCCTCACATAACTCTGCCATCATCCGGTTGTTCAGGTTGGTGGCATTATCAGTGATGATCTTGTTAGGCAACCCATATCTGCAGATCAACTCCCTTTTTATGAATCTGGTCACCACCTTTCTAGTCACGTTGGCATAAGAAACGGCTTCGACCCACTTGGTAAAGTAATCGATTGCGACTAGTATGAAGCGATGTCCATTTGACGCTTTTGGCTCTATAGCTCCAATAACATCTATTCCCCACATTGAAAACGGCCATGGTGCAGACAACACGTTCAAAGTCGTGGGCGATACATTGATATTGTCTGCATGCATCTGACATTTCTCGCACCTCCTTACATGTGTACAACAATCATTTTCCATGGTTAACCAGAAGTAACCAGCTCTCACGATCTTCCTAGCCATGGAGTGTCCATTCATGTGTGTGCCGAACGTACCTTCGTGCACTTCTTTCAATATCAATTCGGCTTCTTTTGTATCTACACATCTGAGGAGAATCATGTCATGATTTCTCTTGTATAAAATGTCCCCACTCAAAATAAAGCTACCAGCCAACCTTCGTAACGACCTCTTATCGTTTTCAGATGCTTTTTCAGGATATTCTTGGGTCTTAAGATAGTGCTTGATATCGAAGTACCAAGGTTTACCATCCACCTCCTCCTTGATGAACTGGCAATATGCTGGCTCCGTATGGCTCTTCATTTCAATCACTGGTAATTCTGTATTCGGGTCAACCTCAAACATGGATGACAAAGTAGCCAACGCGTCTGCTAACTGGTTATCTTCCCGTGGTATGTGGTTAAATGTGATGATGTCGAAACACTCCATTAATCCTTTGATGTATGCCTGGTAAGGGATTAATTTTGCGTCTCTTGTTTCCCACTCTTCCTTCATCTGGTTGATGACTAAAGCTGAATCTCCATATACTTCCAGAATTTTCACTTTGAACTCTATTGCCGCCCGAATACCCACAGCGCAGGCCTCATATTCTGCAATGTTATTCGTGCAATCAAAACACAGCCTTGATGTCATGGGCATATACTGCTGCTCTGGAGAGATTAGTACTGCCCCTATGCCATGCCCCATCATATTCGACGCTCCATCAAATAATAATATCCATGTTTCTTCGTCTCGGTATTTCCTGCCTTCTTTGAATAGAGCCATGATATCTTCATCAGGAAACTCGGGCTGCATTGGCTGATAATCATTGATGGGTTGATGCGCCAGGTATTCTGCTAATGCACTACCTTTGACGGATTTCTGAGTGACATATACGATGTCATACTCTGACAATAGCACCTGCCACCGAGCTATCCTTCCAGTGAGAGCGGGCTTTTCAAAAATAAACTTGATAGGATCCATCTTGGATATCAACAATGTAGAGTTACTCAACATGTATTGCCTTAGGCGATGAGCGGCCCATGCCAATGCACAACAAGTTCGCTCTAACGATGAATATCGTTGTTCGCAGTCTGTGAATTTCTTGCTCAAGTAATATATCGCATGCTCCCTTTTTCCAGCTTCATCATATTGACCCAATACACAACCCATTGACCTTTCCAATACAGTTAAGTACAAAATGAGTGGTCTTCCTGGCTCGGGTGGACG